GGCCAGATTTGAACTCAGGAAGGTTCACCTTCCTAATTCCAAGCCCACTGTCCTATCCATTACATTACCTAAATTGGAGAATTAAAATGCTACAAAGCATTTGCCCCTCCAAGTTCACTTCCAAACATGGTATGGCTGATAGAGAGGTCCCTGTCACTACTTCTCAGCTACCATTGATCAACCACTTTCCTAGGTCAAGCAGGTAATCCGGGACTTCACTCCTCTCTCTGCAAAAATTGAGCAGGGCTCCAGTTCCCAGATGTCTGGTGGCCCATTCTCCTGACCCTTCCAAGGCTAGAAGGCAGCAGCCTCGTCTGATATCCTTCTCTTAATAGAATAGACACAAAAGGCTACTCATGGGCCACTTGGTGCCCCAGGATTCTCTTCCCATCTGGATGTTCAAAGGATGCTCTGACAAGGAGAAAAGTTTTAGTTATCTTTAAGTATAGGAAAAGGATGGACAGAGTCTGAGAGTGGTCACGGTCTCAAACAGAATAGAATAATGAGGGATTGAAAGAACAGAAAGAACATGTAAGAGAATGTATCTAACAATAAATAGGATTGAATTGCCCTAAGGTGATTGTGACATTAGAAAAATTTTAACCTTGCCTTTTTTTTTCTCTGTTATTATGAATGCTACTTTTTTTACATCATTTATTTCTCAATGACTACCCCTGCAAAAAGAAATGTACTTTGTAACAGAGTATAATTGAAACAGTCCAACACATTAACCACATTGACAGCATTTACGCTCACTCAGCAACTGTAGTCCACCACCTTTCTACCAAGATGAGAGATACATTTCTTCATCAGTCCTCTACAACCTGGCCTCAAAACAGTCAGTTTGGCTAAAGATCTAAAAAGTTATTTTGTCCTCAGAGCATTAAATCAAGATGAGAATAAATTCATATCATTAAGGCGAGTACTCTCCAAGGATCATTCTTTGAAATAGGAGATAATTTCATTGCCTTTTTCAATTAAAACTCCTCATTCCTCTTTCCCAGTCTTTCAGTACAAAGACTTCAGCAGTATTGTTTTTTTAAGTATTCATTTAAAACATGTGTTTTATTTATAAAAGTGTATATACAACAGGTGTATATACTTTATCTCAAGCTTAAGTCTTTTCATTGCAAAGCAGGGAAATTTAACTCTGAGCAGTAAAACGATGTCCGGAAACATTTTTATCCTCCTTTCTTTGGAACAGACTTTTTTCCTTTTGTTTAATTTTAGCAAGTATATAATCTCAGTCTCATTCAAAGAGAGATCACAATACCAGGGGTGTCAAGTCAACAAATTATTTCCCATCTTGGTTACTGAAATGTGATGTGTCTCCATATTTATTCCAGAAAGCTTTTTTATTAGCAATGGGGGATTAAATTTCATAGTCAAGAAAATTAGGTCCTGAGTCATGGGAGAAACAAAAATCCCTTCTTCCAATTTAAAGCCCTCTTAAAAGAAATCTCCTTCCCTTCTCCTTCTCCCTTTTTTATTCATTCACTATCTTCCTGTTCCAAATCGCAAGCTGGTTTCTTTTTCTGAGGGCTGAAAGTCATTAACACTTCGAATAACACCATCTCAAGACCTCAGTTCTAGGAGAGGTCACAGCAGGACATTCTGACCAGCATTATAGACTGAGGTTCAGAATATCAGAGCTGAAAGGGATCTAGGACCATCAATTAAGGTTGGCTAATTCTAGGTTAAAAACAAAATCATCAAAACCTCCTTTTTTTGATTTTTAAACTCTTTAAGCCTCTCCATCAGTGTCAGTTTCATGAGGGTGAGGTCTGTTTTGTTTTTATATCCTCAAGCTTAGCACTGCTTGGCATATGGTAGGTGCTTAATAAATGCTTGTATTTTGATCCAAATCTCTTTTCCCAAAATAAATGACTGAGCTGTCTTACAGAAAGATGCCAATTAATTAACTATGAAAGGAAAAATAAGGCATCAAATCTTCTAGGAGAAAAATTCAATAACCAAATTTATGGTTTTGTGCAACAAATGCATACACCCTAAGTCCATGTTATGGCTACAGTGCAGTTGGAGGCTGGGAGTGGGGTACAGTGGAAAGAGGGATGGGCTAGGAATAAGCCAAGAGGCCTGGATTCAAATTCAGCATCTGGCATTTACTAGCTCTGTGACCCCAGGCAAATCTTTTAATTTTTCTCAGTATCAGGATCCTCATCCATAAAAGTAGGTATGATACCTGAGGTACTGACCTCATATGGTTGTTTTGAGGACCAAATGACATAATGGATATAAGGCTATTTGCAAATGTTATAGGATTATATAAAGATCAGCTATTATTTTACCAAACCCTAGGATTTTTCCAATTATCTTAAGCAGACTCAGAAAATTCTCAAATTTCTCATTTTAAAATCAATATAAAAACCAGTATGGCATAAAACATTTTTTTTTAAGTGGGGAAGGGGAGGCTTTATGCCACAACTCCAGAAAGGGTTGAGAACTACCACCCTAAACATTAACCTTAGTTCCAAACAGAAAATCAAGCCAGCACATCTCAGAGTTAAAGATGTCATAAGCCAGGATTCTTTCAGGAAAAAAATAGCTTTGAATATTTATGCACTTGCAATATACCAAGAAAGATAGCAGTCCCAAATTCCTGTAAAAGACTTCCCTTCGAAAACATCGATTATTATTTTAAATACGATCCCCATCGTGTCATTAGAACATAGAGGACACACTGACCCAACAAACAAGCCAAAGAAACTAGGGAAGAAAACGGAAATGGGTAGGAAGTCAAGAGCTAGAATTGAGGATATTTCTAAATGATTCCTTGCTGGTATTCTACTATCAGAGTGCAGAAACGAAAATGTTGCTTAATTCTTTCCTTACTTAAAAACACAATCTGCAAATTCCCGTCTAACCGGGTATAATTTGCAAAGAATATAAAGCCCTTTAATGGGGTGTGTAGGTCCCTCTGAAGATTTTTTTTTTAAATACACACCATGTGGTGCAATCTGTTACAGTCCAAAAGGCAAAAAAAAAAAAAAAAATTAAAAATCCTCTTCAAAAGTCTCTGTTGAAATCAGAAATTACAGTCACCTCTAAATTTCTTGAAGATTTTTAAAATATCCACCAATGAAGAAAATGCTATATCTAAGATTGGAAAAATATTCATCTTACTGCCCGTTACTCTTACCTTCAGCTATTTTGTCAAGTTACTCAATTTAACAAAAATCCTTTGAAAAGATCATTTTAAATCCCAAATGAATGCAATTTAACTAAGCTGTTGAGTGATTTAATTTACAAAACTCAAAGGAAATTTATGTTCAAATATTTGTTTGTTAACTTATCAACCAGTTTAATTCTGAAATGTGCCTATTTGCTTGACATAATATTTTACCATCTTAACAAATGTTTAGAGGTTTTTTTTTTCCTCTTGACTAAAGAGAAATAAGTTTCATATTGCTTTAATTCACCTTCTTATGTGCATATGCTAGGAAAGATTTGATGTAAAAAAAAAAAACCCTTATCATGTTCCTTTCTACTACATCTAAATCTGTTTACAAATTCAAAGCTGCTAAAAAAAAAAACACCCTGCATTCTCCTGCTAAATCGACTGGATGGCTAGAAACCAAACTGTAATGTAACAGAAGAAAAATTACCAATTTATCTTCCTGACAGAACATTCTTGAGAAGGTATAAAACTGTGGTGGTCTCTATGCCAGGTTTTTTTTTTTTTAAAGGCTTTCAGCTTTTAAGACTAAACCTAATTTGATATTTTTGTAGTTCTATAACAGTTCTAATATTTTGTGACATTTTGTATTGTGACACTATAGATGAAATTGTCATCGGACTGACACCCTGTACTGTTTATTCCTTAATTACAACTGTTAACACTGCAGAGAAGCGTGCTAATCTGCCATCACATAGTATGAAAACAACGTTATTGTTACAAACACCAACACCCACTCAACAGGATATTTCCAAGATGGCAGTTTATAGAAACTTATCAGCATAATGGACATTTCATTATAAAGTTGTTGTTTTTTAAAATTCATATTATTGTGTTATTTTAATATGAGCCAAGTTAAAATGAAAATGACCAAAAAATAATTTCAGCAAACATAGATTCTCATTAGGAGGAATTCCTTCTACGGCTACTAGTCTTTGGCTTCTCGGATCTAAAAACTAGGGAGCCCGAACTCACTCTTCCCACTGACAGCCTAGGCAGTGCTGGAATGAGTTTTAAAGTACATTGTTTAGGAATTGTAAGCAGATGCCTCACTGAGAACTCCAGGAGAGGGAAGAGACAGTTAAAAGATGAAAAGAGGGAGAAGAGTCCATTACTCTCCTCAACAAGGGAAGCAATTCTTAGAAAACAAAGTAAAAATCCTATCAGAATCCCTATTCTAACAGGTTCATTTGAAAGCCGGCCAGCTCCCTCTAGTAAAACGAAGGGCTAGCTAGGTTCTGGAGATGGTTAGCCTTTGGCCTTTATGGCCCAGTTCTCCGAACTTTAAAATTATATTTTAGGGGATGTTCTTACTTTTCTAAACACAAGGGACAAAATGTTATGTAGAATGCAAAGAGTATCAATTACACCAGGAATGAGAAGATCAGTCTTTCCACAGGCCTGTGACCCTGAGCAAGTCACTTTGACTCTGGAGTGGTGGTTTTGTCAGTTAAGATAAATGGCCCTCCTCAGGGATGGGAGGCTCATGCCAGATAATCTATTCAGGAACTAAATTATAGAAAGAATTATGCAAATAGAAGGTGCTAGGCAAACCACTCTGTTGGTTTTCTTTTTCATGGTGGGTAGAAAATAGTTAGGAATGGTAATAATTACTGCTCTTTGTCAGAAGGGGTTATGGAAACAAGACAGGTATGAAAAGGACTGAAAAGTGTTTTAAAATGAAATAAGTCACATAAGACACATTTTAACCATTTATTTAATTCAGTTCATCTTTCAAAATTTTCTTTTACACTCTTAAAAGTTTGATGAAATGACAGATTAAAAGTAAAAACAATTCTCATCATTCTTTTAAAAGACTGTAATGTATTTCAATCTTGGTTTGACAAAATTTCCAGTAAATTTTTAAATTCTCCCTACTGTCAAAGAGATAAGGTAACAGAATACACATTAATATATTCCCTTAGATGAACAAATTCCTTTGGATTTATACAATGTCCAGATAAGTTTTGCTTTCCTGAGCAGATGTTCTGAATCAGAACCCCAAGGAAAAATGACATCTTTCTTGCGGTTATCTCTCTGCAGCATCTTTGATGTCATTTCCTGCTGGATTTTGATATCTAACACCAATGGGATATTGTGTTCTTCCTGAAAGAAACTGCTCCCACTTGGGGGCCTGTTCTTCTACTGATGCCCAGTACAGAGTCTGAAAAAACAAAACCCAAAAAGGAAAAAAGCAAAACAAGCAATGGGACTTGGCTTTTCAAAACAGTCTAAATGTTTATTCCCTTAAACACAGACACACACTCATACATGCATATAGATGTGGGATGCAATCTCCCTACAGAACATTTTATGTTAATTTTAGAAAAAAGCTGGCTACTTACTCCTCAATTTTCAAATTTCTCAGCAAAACCACAGAGGCTGGCAGAAAGTCAGGTTTTTGATTAAGTTTTGTGGTGTTTTGATACGCCCTCTTGTGGCTAACAGCACGATCTGTTATGGAGAACTCTGTGGTACATTTCTTTGCTTGGTATTTTCAAACCAGTCAAAAAGCATTTATTAAGTGCCTACTATGTGCCAGGCACTGTGATAAACATTGGGGATACAAAAAGAGGCAAAAAACGGTCCCCACTCGCAGGAAGTTCACAATAAAAATCAAGCACTACTGCTCTGAAACTCAGTTTTAAAGACAGAACATTAGGCAACAAACCACAGTTAGTATGTTGTAGCTTAGGATTCAGGTGAATTTTGTAGGGAAAGCAAATGATCCATTTTTTATCTTTTAGAAAAATACTCTTCATTTTACAAGCAGCGCTTTTTTCCTGTCACTTGAATATAACAATTTCAAAGTCAATCACAAGACTTTCCACGCAAACAACACTAACCCCAATAAGCCAGAGGGGCCTTTACACAGGAATAGGGCCATTAAAGTTTTAATGGCAATAACCCAGCACTCTCTGCTTCATCGTCTATAGTAGTTTGTATAGATAGCACTGACAGGTCCTACAAGCTTTGCTGAGGTTCTCAGGTTACTGCTATAAGAAGCTAAAGAGACGAAGAACATCATACAGAACTCTTTCTGGGGCATTCTGTTAAGGGTTACATGAATGTCATTCTAGCTTGGGGAAATAACTCATGCAGAGATGGCGTTGGGGACCCACAATTAGACAGTGAGGAAATTTTAAAATATAAGGTTTTATAAAAGTAAAATAACATAGGTCTACACTGATCCCATGAAACTATGTATATAGTCTGAGTAATAGCCTGACATGTTCATCCTGCTGTGTAAGGCCAACTAAGAAAAAATAACAACTGTGGTCTAGGGTTGGGAGTTCCTTAGTTATTCATGACTGCATTAAGATTTACTCTGTGTGTGTGTGTGTGTGTACCCCAAACAAGTCAGAGTAAGGTATAGAGTTAAACAAAGAAATAGACATGCCCTCAACCCATCTATATCCCATAAAGCAAAGAGCTGCCTGTCTGATGAGACCAAGTTTTCTTCTATCTCCAGATTCTAGCTTTTCTTAACATCTTAGATGGCGCAGACAGCAGGACAATTTAAGAGCCCCCAAATATTAGAGACTGTTTCAGCAGACAGCAAAAGCGTATTAAGACAAAGACCATCTTTCCAAGAGAAAAATAACCTCAATCTCTCCCAAACCCTGCAATCAATTCCTTTTCATCATGAACATTTTCATATATCAAATAATGTATGTTTCTGCCAAACTTCCCCCAATCTGTTCCTGAGCTTCACAGAATATAACACTTAGAAGCCATACTCCATAACAAACATATATTCAGGCCACTTATTAAACTTTCTGTGAAGAGACTGTGAACAGCTATTTTTAAATCCAGCAGAGAGGACACAGATTTCAAGTGAAATGCTCATTATGATTTCTATACCATCACCTTATGAGCCAGTCTCCTATTTTTAACAAGACTCCTTATGTAAATAAAATTTCATAAAAAGTAAACAGGACTTTGATAAATAGATCTTTCACTTGATTAAAATTTGAAACGTCCTTTAAAGCGATGAATCTACTAGAAAGTGTATACATAAATATTTGGATACACAACGAATGACAGTCTAGATGTGTCTACAGGTGACCCAAGATTCTTACCTGAAGATTAACCATTTCAGGATATGACCGTAAATGGACCTTTTTTTCAAGTTTCTCTTCTAGTGCTCTTATATCCTGTAAGAGAAATCAGTATTTTAAAGGAAAGTATGGGTACACAAACATACACACATTTCCTATGCACACGTGATTTACCAAGGCCAATTCTACTTGCACTGTGGCAACAACATGATAGAGAAATCAGTGTGAGAACCAAATCCTCAACTCCATCAGGTTAACAGCTACAAGCCTGGGAGCAACACCACACACTTCTGTTCCTTAAATAGAAAGGCTACTTCTGACTGACCATTTAGTCTCTAACAGGCAACACTTGCTAGGAAAGTTCATATAAAGGGATGCTGGTTTTCAGACTCCTTTAAAGCCGAGTAAAGTTCGGCCACCACGCAGAGCCTCAGGCCAGTTCTGAGTGACCTGAGAGCTGTCTGAATGCCTACTCACAGCTGTCTTGATGCCCTCTGTGACTCAGCTGATACAATAAGAGTATCATATGTGAAATGGAAAGAATTCCAGGTTTCTATTCAGGCCCAGGTGCAGCCAGCTGCCCACACTGCAGAGGCTGGTGGGTCTGTCAGCCCAAGCATCCCAAACACTATGGGAAGAGGGGATGCCATATGCAGCAGCGGAGGGAGTACAAACATCAACAAAAGTCTTGATATCTGAGGAGTTGAAGTATAAGGCACTTTAGGAGATGATTTATGGATCAAAACTGAAAGTGTAAGGAAGAAATTGCTGCCTTTTATAAATACAATCTTTCATGTTAGACTCTTCTAGAAATGATTTATAGATTCAAGGTGCTGCTAGATTTTATAATATTCATGGGCCTCTGTAGCCTAAAAAATCTCAGAAGCGGGGTGGGTGTACTGTTCATTTTAAAGAAGATAAAGCAGCTTCCACGTGACTTTAAACTCTGTATGTATAGGGTTTGGTTTGGTTTTTAATGTAATAGTCTAAAGCAATTATAATACCTGAACTTTACAGTTTGGTAAGGTCTTACCTTGATAATACTGAGAACACTAAATCTGGAGCTAAAACAAGCTGTTTACCAAACCCCTGAACTCTGCTGACCTTTCCTTACTTAAAGGATCAGCACCTGGGCTCCATTTACCTACTACTACCAGAGTCAAAAATAAACAAAACAAAAAATCAATCTGTCAACTCTCTGAGACTCACAAGTTGCTAGAAAAAGGGAAAGTTCTCCAATCTATGAACAAACACTGGAGAAATCTAAGTACAGGGCTGTTGGACAGACGGAGAGGGATGGGAAGGGGCGTGGGAGTGGGGTGTGAAGAAGCCAATGCTGAACAGGAGAAAAAAGAGAGCAGATGGCAGCGGCGGCGGGAGCAGGGAATGGGTGTGAAGAGTAAAAGGGAAAAACAGGAAATTCCCTAAAGGGACTTCCCAAAGTTGTACAACCACTGCTGCACCTGCTGTCTAGAGGAAGGAGATTTAAAGAAGAAATAGTCAGTTTAGGAATAGAAAGCCTATTAAACAGCTTGCCCGGTCTATATATGAAATTTAAAGCTGAAAACGATGGCTGAAAGCTACCGATACTGTGAAGTCAAAATAACAACAGAAACAGAAACCTGACTGGGGCACGCTGAGTTTTCATGAGACCTTAATAAAAAAAATATATATATTTTATGACTCTGATAAAGCAAAGGCTTAATTAGATACAGAAATAAAAACATATAACCCTGAGAAACCATAAACTGAGTGACATAACTATTCCAGGAATAGCTGTTTAAAGCTACTTATTAAAATGGTTAATTCAATTCAATCCAACTCAGTGAACATTTATTGAATGTCTCCTATGTGCAAGACACTGACAACACAGAATCTAGTGGGGAGAAGATACGTGTGCATAAAGAACTATAATACAAGTCAAAATATGACAGAGTACAGACAGTAGTGGCATAAGAGACTGAGAGGAGAGGATAACTTCCAATCAGGGCACACGATGGAAGGCAGCAGGCAGAGACTCTAAGTTTCTTGAAGTAGGGCCGGTTTGGTTTTTGTTTGTGTGCACAGGGCCTGGCACAGAGTAGGAGGCTTGACTGATCAGAGGAGGTGATGTGTGAGCTGAGTCCTGAAGGAGGGGAAGGATGTTAAATGATAGAGATTAGAGGGGGAGGATGGGTCCATCTGTCAAAGACAGGCAGGCAGGTAAGAAGAGCAGGATGAGATGAGCAATCATGAGTGAGAGTCTGGCTAGAGCACCAAGGGCAGCATGGAACGATGTGGAATAAAACAGGTGAAAGCCAAACTCTGGACAGTCTTGGACTGGAAGCCTTAAGGGGCTGACATGGCAGATTTTTGCACAAGATAACAAGAAGATGAGGTCTGGATTACTTCAGCAGCAGTGTGAAGGGCAGACTGGAGAGGGGAGAGAGTGGAGGCAGCAAGACTAGTGAGGAGGCTATTAAAGTTGTCACAAGAGTTTACATGAGAAAGCAAGGAGATCCCTGCCAGGAAGAAAGGTTCCAGTACACACCAAAATACTGAGAGCAGCACTTTTCATGGCAGCAAAGAACTGGAAACAAGGTGAATGCTCATTGTTTGGGGAAGGGCTAACAAACTGTGGCATATAAACGTAATGGAATATTACTACACTTAGCAAACAGCAAATATGATGAATGCAATCATGGAAGGACTTCGATGAACTGATGCACCACGAAGCAGAACTGAGGGAAATATTGGTGACATAAAAATAAAAGACATCAACAAAGATATAGATGCATAACAAAGACATACTTTAAATAGACACAGAAACAAAATATAGTTGGGATGAGAGGCATGAAAGGCCAGAGCCAGGGCTGCAATGGGAGTGGAAAGGAGGCAAACACTGAGAAGCCCTGGGCTGAGTAGCACATGGCAAGCAGCCAGAGGTAAAGAACAGGAAAGAGTCAAAAATCACAGGAGCCGAGACCCAGCCAGAACGGCTATGGCTATCACCAAAGTGCTTGAAGCAGCAGGCTCTCCCTGTCCCCAGCCCACCTGCTGGCTCTTCCTGCCTGGTCTCATCACCACTGTGGAGATGCAGCCTGGGCCCCTCAACAGCCACAGTCACTGAAGACTTGGAAAAGAAAGTTTTCACCTCCAAAGTACTCGGCATTGTCAGATCATTCAGATCAGAAAGAGAGAAGGTTTTGTCACTCAGAAGGACACTAAAAATGTACTTTTACACCAGCCTTTTATCCCCCTGCAGCCAAACAGGATCACTCATCATCCTCAGCACCCTACCTTACCATCTGCCTTGCCATAACACCCACATGACCACTGGGTCTTATCATCTGGTCTGCTGCTAAACCCTTAAGACCACCCTCCACCAGGACCTTCCATATGCTCTGCATTGCACCCTAAAGCCCATGATCCTTTCTATCTAGAAATGTGAGCTGCCTCAGGGCTGTCTCACTTTCCCATCCATGTTTCCCAGATTTAACACAATGCTTTGCACACACTAAGGGCTTTAACAAACGCCTTTTCATCCAAGTCTCTGCTAACAATTTCTTTGTTGTGTGTGACCCAAGGAGTCATTTTTCTTCTCTGGAGGAGAAAACAAGCAAATTAAAAGTTGTTGTACCTTTGCACTACTGTCCTTCCTTGTATCTCATTCTCTCCAAGCAAATGTTCTTAATAATAATAGCCAGCATTTATATAATGCTTTAAAGTTTGCAAAATGCTTTCAAATATTATCTCATTTTATCCTCACAACAACCCTGGGAGGGTAGGTACCATTTTTATGCCTGCTTTACCGATGAGGAAACTGAGGCAGAGTTAGTTAAGTGTTAAGCCCAGGGTCAAGCAGAAAAATATCTAAGAGTGAATCTGAACTCAGGTCCTCCTGACTTCAGATCCAGCATTCTTTAATCTTTGTTGTACTCCCAACATAGCTTTAAAAGAAAAAGAAAAAGGTTTTTTGGGTTGCACTTAGCATTCATTACAAGCTTTTATTTGTTCTGGACCTTAACTTTCCTGGTATTCTTAGAGGAATGCACCACTCCTATGATCCTTCTAAGTTACCATGCCTTTGCTTCAGTCTTCCAGGTGCTCATCTCTTTCCTTCTTAAATTAAAACTCGTTTCTTATTAGTTATTACTTCCTATTAGACTGACAAAGTTCCTGATCTCAAGCGGCTTACATTCCAAGGGAAGAGACAACAGGACAAAGAGATGTACACACACTCTACAGAATGAATAAAAGGCCGTTTGGGGAGGAAGCATGCCAGTAGCTGTCAAAGGCAGAACCTGAAGTGAATCTGAAAGAAAGTAATGGCCTCTGAATCCAAAAAAGAATGTATTGCAGGCCTGGAGATGGGAGACAGAGTGCAGTATGCATGAGGACCATGAAGCAGGCCTCTATGGGGGAACTGTATGCTGTGTGAAGGGCTGGAAGGGTAGGAAAAGGCCAGAGCCAAACAATTCCTATTTGATTCTAGAGGTAACAGGGAATCACTGGAGTTTACTGAATAGAGGGGTGACATGGTGAAATCTGAACTTTGGGAAATTGCTTTGGCAGCTTTGTGGAAGATGGATTGGATCAGGAAGAATTCTGAGGCAGGAAGACCAACTAGAAGGCTCTTACACTATTCCAGAAGAGAAGAATGAGGACCTGGAACAGGAGGTGGCTGTGTGGATGTACAGTAGGAGCCAAGTGAGAACACAGGTGACAACATCTGGTGCCTGGATCTATGGGGTGAATGAGACAGAAGGTGAGCATGACCCCCAAGCTGTGAAGCTAGGTGACTAGAAGAGAAGGTGGTAGTATCCTCCATAGTAACAGGAATTTTAGGAGGAAGGGAGATAATGAAGTCTACTCTGGACATATTTCATTTGAAATACCCATAGAAAATCCATTTCAAAATGTCCAAGAGTCAATTTGTGATCAGGAGAGGGATTAGGGCTTGCTGGAGCTGGTGATGATTGGCAGCGAGGTGCTAATGAAGCCCCTGGTATCTAATGTGGTCACTAGAGTGTACAGAGGGCTCAGGATGGAGCCTTGGGTTACACCTACAGCGAGTGGGTATGCTTTGGTAAAACACTAACAAAAGAGCAGCTGGA